CACAAGAAGGACATGGAAGTGTTGGAGTGGGTCCAGAGGAGGGCTACAAAAATGATCTGGGGGCTGGAGCACCTCTCCTATGAGGACAGGCTGAGGCAGTTGGGCTTGTTCAGCCTGGAGAAGAGAAGGCTGCGGGGAGACCTGATTACAGCCTTTCAATACCTAAAGGGGCCCTATAGGAAAGATGGGGAAAATCTTTTTAGTAGGGCCAGCTGTGACAGGACAAGGGGTAATGGTTTTAAACTAAACTAGGGTAGGTTTAGACTAGATATAAGGAATAAATTCTTTACAATGAGGGTGGTGAAACACTGGAACAGGTTGCCCAGAGAGGTGGTGGAGGCCCCATCCCTGGAAACATTCAAGACCAGGTTGGACGGCCCTCTGAGCAACCTGATCTAGTTAGCAGTGTCCCTGCTCACTGCAGGGGGGTTGGACTAGATGACCTCTAGGGGTCCCTTCCAACCCAAAACATTCTATGATTCTATGATTCTATGATTCTAAGATGGGGCTTTCAAAAGAAACCTGTTCTTCAAATAAGATATTCTTATTTTTTATGAACGTTGTTTACCCTGTACACTGATTTCAGCTGCTTCTGATCTAAATCACCCATCCTACCACCCTAGCTTTTACCTTCAGAATGACATTGGCAAAATAGGAAGACTCAGAATGGCCTTCTACCTGACTTCTTTGCCAATGTGTGTGCCTATGAGGTGAGGAATGAAGCGGGCATGAGTGAGAACAGGACAGCAGGACCCTGAAAAATTTGTTTGCTTTTTGTTTCTCTTGGAATAGCATGCCACGGTAGTCACTAGAAGGAAACAATTGAATGTCAACAACAGGTAGTTTGTCATTTCTAGGAATTTAAGAGGATTTTCTTTTGTTTCAGAATTAAATTTCCATTTAAAACCTTTGAAGCAGGTAAAAGATATTGAAATCACTTCAAAGATGCTGTTTCTAAATTAATAATCACTAAGGGCTGTCACTTAAATCAGTGAAAATATTTTCATTGACCTTAAAATGACGTGTTTGAGAACTGTGTTGCAAAACTATTATATTTCCATGCCTTTAACAGGGAAAATGGTCACCAAATTTCCTCTCCCTGTTCCTTTAATAAACAGCATAAGTACTGTTTTTCCTGGTCAGTTGTAATTACATGACACCATTCTTGGCTAATGAAAAAGTCCTTTGGAATGCTTAAGAACTCTGATGAAGATGAGAGACCAGAAATGGAAAGTGTATCATTGAAGTTTCAGATTTATTTAAGAATTTATATATAACTTTCTAACTAACTCAAAGGTTACCTCTGCTGGAATTAGAAGGTGACTTACATAAGCAATTATCACTCAGCCCTCTAGGATACAAAACTGAAGATTTTCTAACTTCCATTTTTAGCAGTTCTATCTGAGTGTTGGAGCTGTAACCAATGCACCTTTAAATTCAAACAGAGGTAAAGCTCAAAGGCATTCATAAACTCGTTATGGAATACGACAAATTAATAATATCCCTGTGAAAGAAAATCCATTTGATCTAAGCACGGACTCTAAACCTCTTCCTCCAAACCCATTTAAATAAAAAAGTTTGCCATTTCTCATGAGGAGGATGAGAATCTGGTGCTTGAGGACTAAAACTGAAAATCTTCTTTATAGAGTGCAGCCCTTGAAAAACCTTCAACGGCAATTAGATTATGGGGCTAACTTCCCAGCTTGCATTACACCTTCTCCCCAGCAAGCTTTAAGCCTCCTCCTTGCAGGCTTCTCTGTGGGTCTGTGGCAAGACTCTAGCCACTCAGTCTGGCATCTCTGAAGAAGTAACATCACTCCATTTGCCCTGTGTGAAGAAATATACTTGTCACTGTGTTCAGAAAACACAATCCTAACAGCATTTTTTGGCTGTGCCAGTGAGTTAGTAGGGGTTTTTTTTCCCTCTTTCCTCCTCTCCTCTGTATATTTCCTCGATCCCCGAACAGCAGGCCTGGCCAGGAATGGAGAAAAACACATTACAGAGGTAGTGATGCACCCGTACCTCCTGACAGCCCTCACTCTGCCCTCAGAGGAATGGAGAGTGGATATCTGCGTATAGCCACAGAGAGAGATGGCCGACTACGTATTATCCTTTCTTTAACTAACATACTTTCAATATCCCGTTTAAACAAGAATTACTTATTTAGCACATACACAGAAGATATGACTGAGAAGTATCTTTTGAATAGAATACCAACAGTCATACATCATTTCATTTTATGAAATCATTAAAAATTAAAGAAAATTGAAAGGAACTTATTTTCCTCAGACAAATGATAGTGCATGATAACAAGTGCAACACAGGAAACTTACCTGCACAAACAAAGCAATAATAGCTATGCCGTGCTTCTTCCCTACTGCCTCATCAATGCTGCTGTACAGTGTGGAGTTCCAGTGCATTAGATGAAGCTAAAATAAAGCAGTGCAAATAGACCAGTAGAGAAATATGTTTTGTAATAAAAAACCACCAGCAGTTAAGGTCAATTAAGAAAGCCTCAGCATGTGTGTGTGCATGCGTGAATATACATATGTGCATGCCTATGGCTGTGTATGTATATGTAAGTGGATTCCTATTATAAACATCAGGAATCCCAAGAAAAACAGGCCAGCTGTGGAGAAAGTGATGTATAGCCAGTTACCAAATATCTACAACAAAGGTGTGAATAACTATGCTAATGATGATTTACCAACTCCCTCTCTTTGAATACCGAAACGTCAGCTAATGAAACCCACCAGCATTGCCTCTCAGCCAGCCAGCTCTCTTCCAGGGCAGGAGCATGGTTATGGACATAGGCAGCCCAAACACAGGCTTGACTGGCTGACTGTACTACCCTAATGTCACTTGTCTCACGTATCACCTCCCAGGATGAGTCACTCAAATGTCAGTATTAAGAGTAGGAGAAGTGATTTCAGGAAAGGTTAAACATAGAGAAAGTCAAGCAGAGAAAAATGGCCTAAGGACCACCTTAGGGAAGAGCAGTGAAAGGGATGCTAAGGAGTCAAACACGAGCCCTCAGCTGCCGCCTTCTGCAGGGTAACAGGGCCTGGGGGGGTTAATGAGTGAATAGATGTCAGGCAGTGGGCACCGGATGGTAAACACGAAGCCTGTTCTGGTGAGGTGTGACAGCATGACTTGGGAAGTAGTGTTTGAGAAAAGTGCTGGGAGACAGACCAGCAGGTGGTTGGAAAGGGAGGAAGGAAGGGAGGGGAGGGAGGGGAAGGAGGGGGGTGGGAAAGGAGATGGGAGAAGGAAGGAAGGAAGGAAGGAAGGAAGGAAGGAAGGAAGGAAGGAAGGAAGGAAGGAAGGAAGGAAGGAAGGAAGGAAGGAAGGAAGGAAGGAAGGAAGGAAGGAAGGAAGGAAGGAAGGGGCAGCACTCTCTACTGGGAGGTAATATGCATTTCAAACACGAGTTTTTCCAGCACTAATGCTAAAATGTAATCTCTGTGGCTGGGTCTGATAACATTGCAGAGCTTCAATGTCCTAAGCATAGCTCCTTTGAAGTTTATCTGCCAACAACTTTTGCACGTTCCATACAGATAAAAGAGCTAAAAAAATACAAACTCTTAGATTTAATTCCTGTTGTAAAATCGTGATCAATGTTTTGCTCAGTCATGTGTCTAAGAAGTTAAAATGTCACCCTGTTATCTAACATTGTTTCTACCTTAAGCAAAATTAGTTTTTAAAACAGATAGCATGTCTCCCTATTTTGTGTTTCATTTCTGCCTAGTAACGGCCTTTGTGATATGCTTATTCCCGCTTACACAGCAGGAGTTCACTCGGGCATCTCAGCTTATTAGAAGACCAGTTTCTCAAGCAGTCACTCTCCCCTTATTTTACCTCCAATGAGAATTCTGGGTGCTCCTCCTGATGATTGTTATTTCAAAAGTCAACACAAAATTTTAAATGAACATATTGTAAATCGAAGTAAATTCCAAATTATCATACAAATAATTTTATTCATGCTGATCAAAGGCATCTGCTGTGGTAAAAAACATGAAAACTTTTTTAAAAAAGTATAGTAATTCCTTTGCACATAAGAACACTAGTACAAATGTACTTGCCCACAGCTACAAAACTTCTAGACATACAAATGCTCCCTGTTAGAACTAAGCTATCTCACTATCGCCGATAGATTTACTTAGTGACACATATTTTATCATCTATAAAAAGCTCTGTTACACATTTGATTTGCCTTGGCTTTTAAAGTAACAAAACCACAGGATCAAATGATGAGATTTCAGTCTCCAGCGCTCACTTTGGCAGACACAGAACTACCACCTCCCAAGCAGATAAAGCATCGCCTTTCCCAAGACGAGCCTGGAGTTAGCATCAGCTATCCACTAGAGGGGGCTCACGGAGTCCCACGATCCTCACCAAAATCCTTACGTTGAGAAGGAAACGCGGAGGAATGAGGTTGGGGTGACGGCAGGCGAGATGGCAATGTCCTGGGTGCAGCGATCACAGCGCTGCATGGCACCACGACTCGGCTGGCTGGAAATGTCAAAGCAAGCTTGTCCTCTGGTGGCTGGAACAATAGCGCTGAGGGCAATCGCCAAATGTAAAGAGACCATGACTTTGACTGTGTCAACAGGCGGGTCTTGGCTAAAGCTGCCGTGGCATTCAGCGTGTTACGCTCCTTTGGAGGTGAAGTCTAATCTGACATTCGTCTGCATTCTGACAACAGTGGGCTTTTTCTGAGGATTTGAAAGGAAAACGCTGAGCCCCAGCAAGAGGAAAATGAGCAAGCGCTTCAGACCATACCAGCATCAACCCCAGTTTATCCAAAAACAGATTGTTGTCCTGTCTTAGGCAGCAGAATCATTGGAGACTTTCCTATGATAAGGCTATATACCAGCTAGAAAAATGCGTAATACTATAAAACATTAAGAGGTCTAGAATTAGTCTGTGCAGCAGCATAAACAGCCTGACAGGAAGACGCACCGCAAAATACACTTAGCTGCTGCAAGAAAGGGGGACCACGGTGCAAAAAGCCCTGCAGCTGGAACTGCTTTCCAAGGAACATACCTACTGGCCAGCACCTCTTCCCACATCCCCAGGAGACATGGGGAGAGTAAGTCAAGTATTAGCTACACATTTTAAGAGTATCTTTAGGTCTCTGCATCCCCTCCAGGCCTCCTTCCTCTCCACCAGCTCAGTAGAGGTCAGGATGGTCTACTAAAAAAAAAAGAAAACTTAACACAAAGACAAAAAAGGGATGTACTTAAGGCTAATGTAGATACCCTTACACTAGGTTCAGGTTTAGTAATCAACATTACTAAAGGTACAGCAATAGGCAGTCAGCACTTCCCAGTCCAAAGTAACATTGAGATAACATTGAGGTTCTGCTCAAGGATGCCTAGGCTCCTTGGACAAGAATCATCATTTTGTACTGGGTTCCTAAAGCCCAAGGTAGAATGGACTTCTGGTCCACAGAGGTGGTGATAATTACAGTGGATTAGTAATTATTTTTTACACAGCAGGTTGTAAAATTGCTGTCATAAACACTGTGATGCCAAATAGTATCAGCAGGTTCATAACTGGATTAGACAAATTATGGACAAGTCCAAAAACAGACAATAAAGACAACCAGTTGAGATGCTGCCTCTAGCAGTCCTAGTCCTATGATGGTAGATGGCTGGGGAGTACAACAAAAACTGGTCAGGCTCATGCGCTCTCCCTGTACAGCATCCCTTACTGACACTGCTAGAGACAGACTACTGGATGGACCACTGGCCTGATCTAGCAGTGTATTTATTATGTTCCCATGTTCTGAATCAAGGTGATATTCAGAATAGCTATTCACAGAAAAGGTTCTGTCATTAGGGATTTGCAAACTGAAATTAGACAGGCAACCTAATGGAAAATAATAATTAATACCACAATATTTCCTAACAACAGGCCAACAGGACTCACATCTTTTGCTCTGACTCTGATAAGCCCATGCATGCACATTTAAATAAATAAGCAATGTCAACATGCACTTAAATAAATGGAAGTAAAGTCAAATGAATTCTTCTACAGAGCAGGAAAAAGGCAGCTCAGATGGGAGCTGGGTAAGTAAATGAAAAAGTGCTTCAGAAAGGGAAATAATAGCAAGGAAGGAGTAAGGCCTGAGTGTTCATGGCAAAGTGCTGGTTTGAAATTGTGGTTTATCCTGTGTGTTCACATGGTTCTCTGGAGCTGTTCTGCCTTTTGTTTGCTCTTTTTTTGTTTGTAATGACATCAGATGAAAACACCAGATAACAGTTTTAAAAAAATGGCAAAAAGTTTACAAACATTACAAAATTTGAACTCTAGAGAGTACAGTCCACAAACAACACGTCCTGTAACTCTTGTTAATATTTATGGGAATCATATGTTTACAGAGGAAAGACCTCAGTGCTTTTACAAATCTTTAAACTGTCAATACAATACAATGCCCATGCACATTGACAACTTCATACCCATGCGTCTGTACCTTACAAGTAGCAATAGCCAGAGGCTTATTAGGTTAATGCTCTGTATTTCAGTAACCTTCAGTTTTACGCTGATTTGAGACAGCTACATAAAAAATGCATACTCACGGGGGGTGCCAGTCTCCAATATGAACATAACCATGTGGGGTTTTTTAAATAATCAGCTGCAGTGTATTGGCAGCTTACCATTGTGTGGTTTTCATTCGGAGTACAAACAAGCTGCACATGTTCAGTATGGCAGGAGAGGCTCTGCTCAACTTGTTAGCTAATGTTTTGATACTTGGTAGTTATGATGTTTCTATATAACCAAAATGAGTCAGCTCTTCTGTTACCAATTATTGGTGGCTGGCTCAGCGTGCCAGACAGTGTATTTTTAAAAAATAATCAGAAAGCTGAGAGAAACTCCTTAGCACTCAAAAAATACATTTTTCTTTTGGATAAAAACATAATTTGGAGTCTTTTAACATATCAGCTGTAAAATAAACAATTGCAGCAGTGACTTCCTTAAAATCAGATAAACTGAAAACTCATGAAGGCAAATGACAATAAAGGTAAATAATAAAGTGCTGATAAGGTTGATTTGTTCTGTGAATAGCTGGAGAGACTCTCCTTTGCAGGAAAAATCAAGAAATTATCCCAGGTAGCAGAGCAAACCCTGAAGAAGGATTATTCTGTATGGAACAAATTCTGAGAATCTCCCCAATTGTCATCCAGTCCCTACTCAACCAAAAGACTACTGATCCCAGTCCTTGCTTAGGAAAAGCTGACACTGACATTAACAAGGGGCCTGTCTCAAATCAAAACATTCTCAAAACTAAGTAAGGACCTGAGATTCTGGCTTTAAAATCAATAAACAAATTAAAGCCCTACACTTAAATTCATTCCTTTCTCTACCACAGAAATATCTTTTATGTCAATATGAAAAGAAAAGGCCTGGGATGGTGGATTTTTAC